GAAATGATTTATCTACGTGCGCTGGCTTAGTAGTTACAAAAATGTCGATATTTACTGCATCTAAAGAAAAGTCATCGATACCATATGCCTATTTCCAATACTTAAGCCACAATAAGATATTTTGTGACAAAAATATTGAAAATTAAAATAGATTTCTAAGCTTTAATATTAGGCACGGCATATTAATCTTTACGAACGAAAGTTACCTCTTCTTCAAGACAATTTTATGAAGATAAAGACTGTACAGCATGTTATTTTGACGCATAGTTTAAGAGATAATGAAAAATTTAAATAATTTTACACTCGGCTCGGCGCGCGAGCGAACATAAACTCTGACCGCCCGATGAGAACCGAGAGAAATCAGCAGTGAACGCTTCTTTAGTTATATATATATATATATATATATATATATATATATATATATATATATATATATTTAGTGAGGTTAGTTCACTCATTTAGCTAAGAATTGGCAAAATTAATAGAGTAATTTTACATATCGGCACGTGCACGTTATAGAGCAAAGTTACATTTTATCTACTCACTCTCCCCCTCCCGGGTGAGCATCACCCCCACGTGCCCGAATCGCGGTATTTTCCAGTTATAAGGAAAACAGTACACGATACATGAAAAATGTTAAGGTACAAAATAAATCTTAATAAATTTGCTATCATCCTCTTATACATACAAAAGTTATATTACCTAGAGTTGACGCGAAATCTACCACGAAATATGATTTTTTAATAATTTATCGATTTCTGTTATTTTTCGCTGAATTGCCTAATGAATGAAATGAATTAATTTTAAGAAAAATGTGGTAGTATTATCAACTATATTAAAATAAATAAACTTTAACCCCACTCACGGAGTAGATATCTGATTATTGATTGAATCAGAATAGTTTAGTTTAGTCCACGAATTTTATATCTTACCAAGTCATAAATCATTAATCATCTATTTGTCCGTATCTCCAAAATGAGACATAATCTTATCTAAAGAAAATAAAACACTTTATGCCTTCTGTATATATTCTCTCAAGATATTTTTATAAAAGATTGTAACACGAAAATCGTTGGCTAAGCACATATTATTATTATTATTATTTATCAATTAAAGCCTTTTATTTAACTTCACTTGTATGTATGTCCTGGAATTTTGCAATCGATTTTTCAGCTACTTACATTGAAGCTACTGGGGTAAAATTTGGCAAACGCGTTTGGTTCTCGTGATAATGCCGCCATTTTTAATCCCATGTGGTGGACGTTACAAACTAGCGGTTTATTATTTACCAAGCTACCCATATGATGTGAGTGTCTAATGAAAGGGTTTGATAAGCAAAACACAATAAATAGTGACGTTATTCTAAATCCAATATTGCAGACGTCAGAAAATGGCAATTTATAATTTCCGTAAAACCCCTATTACATTGGTATCAAATGAAAGGACTTGTTAGCGAAATACAATGGGTGCGTTTGGCAGAAAAAAGCGCTAGCAAGCGCTTGTAAGCAAAATGGCGATCGTAATCGGTAAGCGCTGTCAAATCGTAAGTAGCTATTTTCCTCCAGGACACGATGTTAGTTTTAACCGGGGAAACTAACCTAGTTTAAATATATGTTTGTAAAGTATTCATATTAAAAACTTACCAATCATGAATTTTTAATAACATGTATATGTCTATTCATGTCATTATATTACTTAAAACTAATATTGCACAAAACAACTTATAAACTCTACTTCAAACAAACAAATTAAATAAGCAAAATGGCGGATTGTGTCAGCGCTACTGAAGTAGCAATCGTGTCCTGGCCGAAAACTATTTTAGCGCTTGTAAGCGCTTGCTAGCGCTTTTTTCTGCCAAACGCACCCAATAAGTAAAGTGACATTATTCTAAATCTAACATGGCGGACGTCATGATATGGCAATTTATGATTTCTATAGTAGCTCCTATGACATGAGTATCAAGGGCTTGATGGACGAAACACAGTGGGAGCGTTTGGCAGAAAAAAGCGCTAGCAAGCGCTTACAAGCGCTGAAATAGTTCTCGGCCAGGACACGATTGCTACTTCAGTAGCGCTGACACAATCCGCCATTTTGCTTATTTAATTTGTTTGTTTTGAAGTAGAGTTTATAATTTCTTTTGTGCAATATTAGTTTTAAGTAATATAATAATGACGTGAATAAACATATACATGTTATTAAAAATTCATGATTGGTAAGTTTTTAATATGAATACTTTACAAACATATATCTAAATGAGGTTAGGTTCCCCGGTTAAAACTAACATCGTGTCCTGGAGGAAAATAGCTACTTACGATTTGACAGCGCTTACCGCTTACGATCGCCATTTTGCTTACAAGCGCTTGCTAGCGCTTTTTTCTGCCAAACGCACCCAGTAAATAAATAGTGACATCTTTCTGAATCTAATATGGCGGACGTCTAATATGACAATGATATATTATTACGACATGTAGCTGATTTGATTAAGGAAGGATTTGGAATGTAGTCATGGCCAAAAAAGGCAGAAAACAAAATGAATGCCATACCAATTTTAAAGTGTTATAACTCAGAAAAGTAGTTAGGTGGTGCTCTAACAAATGTTGCAAGGACCGACAAGAATCATCTGCTAATGATAAACAAATCAAGATGGCGATCAAAAACCGAAAAAGAAATTAAATGAAAAGACTTAGAAACATGTCGAGCGGTAACTAAAAACAAAAAAACTATTTATTTCAAAAATATGCTTTTTTTTTTGTTTATAGGATAGGGTGACAAACGAGCACACAGTCCACCTGATGGTAAGTGGTGCTGTGGCTCATAGACATCTACATCTATCCTCGATTACGAATCAAAATGCAGATGCGTTGTCACCCGTGAGGAGTAAGATGGAATGCCTCGTTTCCAGTAAAAAAGGGTCTCCGGTCCTCTACACTCACCATAAGAAACACAGCAGCATTAAGCTACTATTTGACGCTGGTTTTATTTTAAATGCTCTAAAAAGAAGAAAGTATACTTTAAATTAAATGAAGCTCATCAATTTATTAGTATATAACATATTTTGTATGATATGAAAGCTTGTCGAAAGATTTTCCTGTGTATATAAACATGAATAAAATATGTAACTTGATATTGACATAAATAAGTAATTCTAAGAAAAAAATGTGTTTTTTCTAAAATGGAAATTCTCGAGATAAGCTTTTATGTCATATATTAATTGTATAATGTAATAAATTGATGGGTTTGATTTAATTTAAAGTTTATTTTCTTTTTTTGGAGCATTTAAATAAAAGCTTGTTTTTAAAAAAAAATTTTATTATTAATGTATTGATTCTTAATCTATGTAATCATCAATGTATCCACGACTGTATGCTTGTTTGCCAACATTACTTCTATAACATTATGTGATTATTACAATTATATCGTGTGAAATGACAGATTATAGTAAATCAGTTATGTTATTTGTGAAAAAACTTGTCGTAAACATATTTTAATATTTTCGAATTCCTTAGAAAAGTTACTGTGATTTCCTCTGGCTTAAGGAAAATGGTTATTCTCCACCAATTGATTGCTTTCGTGATGTTTCAAAATAATCCATTTCGTCTACTCTATCAGCGAACCGATCCCTGTTATTGCTCTGAAGACAATGTCAAATGGGACTGACGAATGACAGGAATCCAATTTAGGGATCCGTAGCCGGCAAAATGAGACACCCGTTAAAACATGACGTTATGATTTGACGAAGATGTCTTAAATATATAATATTAAAATCTCTTTAGTGCCTCGTTGGTATATCGATCATAAGCGCGACTGATCTTGGGGCTCTGGTACAAATCACAGGTCGGACCAACATCATTATTGGGTTTTCCCACTTCTCACCCTGTGCATGATCTTTCTCTATGCATGGCCCCGAGCATATTATTATTATGCCTTTTTATTAATTTATTGCTCCCCAAAATAAGAACTTAACTTCTACAATAATAATCACATTTTTGTGACTCGTCTAAGGATTTATTTTAGTAACTTACGCTATAGATTTCATTTATATACATGGCAAAGACAATTATATCCGTATAACTCTTACACTGTCTCACCGTATAGGGGCGGGGTAAGAATATCTAATATAAAATATTGTCCTGTGGGTGTTAGAAATATAAATAGTAGAAAGGCGACATAGAAAAATAAACCTGGAGATGAACAGCAGCAACTTCCAGATAACAACTGTATAATAACAAAATAAACTGCGGTGACAACTCACTTGCTATGTGCAGCAAATATGATAAATATTCCTCCTTTGGGGCAATCCATTGGGGAGGCCTATATTCGGTAGTGGGTTTTTAATGGGCTGTAATAAATGAATTAATGAATTCATACGTTTTGACAGACGTTCCGTTTTTAAGTCAGCGAAACCCACTTACAGCGGAACGAAACTCACACTCACGATTTGTTGTAATTATGTACAGGTATAGCCGTCTGAAGGTTGGAGCTAGTTAATTTGTAAATATCAATGAACGAAAATCTTTATTCAGCCTTATGGCTATAGTGACCTTTAGAGCAGTTTTAAATTGTACTCTTAGCTATATATTTAAAAAAATCGTACCAGTGTTTGTCTCACGGAAGAAAAAAAACCGTATTTTAAAATTTGCATTAGGATGTTGTTATTTTTAGTGCTTTTATAATAATAACATCAGAAATTGTGAAATGGTTAAATATTGACAAATATAAATAAATGCAAAAAGTCTTTTACGTAGTAAGTCTACGCTGCAGCTTTATGGCTGCAGCACCAATGGTTCGGCTCTTCCCTGATAGGACCACTCTCTGACTAGCGTGCCGTATTTCGTATAGTAAGCGAATTGGTAACGCGGCATTCCATCTTACTCTTCAGGTATGACAACGCATCTGCATTTCCATTCTTAGTCGAGGATAGATGTAGATGTCTATGGGTCACAGGATCCACCTATCATCAAGTGAACTGTGAGCTTACTTTAAATAATAAAAAAACTTACTTAAAAAAGTAGGTTCCGTTGTTGTATCCAAAAAATGGTACTGTGTACGTTAACATCCAAATATTTCCTCCACCGCAATCGTAATATGGTTTGGACCATTTCCCGTCTTCGTAAGTAACTGAAAGTATCTCGTCAAACTCCCGTTCAGTGTGCGTAGTGTCGTTGTAAGTATACGTATTATAACCTGCAAATATTATATAATAATACAAAATAATATAATTTTTGTAAAAGGAAAGGTTATTAGATTTATATTAATAAATAGTGTTTTTACTCTACAATATTTAATATAAGCAGTCAAAGTTAAGTAAATTACAGCCTGTATACGTCCGACTTCTAGGCACAGGCCTCCTCTCATTTTTGAAAAGGTTTTAGGGAAGGGAAATGTGAGCAGTGCTACCCTCATAGAAATCGTATTAATAAGACAATAGTTGTCGCTGCTATGATGTGTTGACGAACATTCGCGCAACGCACATTCGCCATTTTGTGATTTAATTGCGCAGGGAACGTCATACGAAAATTTATTTATTTTATTTTATTTCTTTATTTATTCTTTTTTGTTCACCACAATACAGAAACATCAAGTTCAGTTAAAACTAAATAAAGTATGTACAATAGGCGGTCTTATCACTCTGAAAGTGATTTCTTCCAGACAACCTTTGCGTAGAGGAATGATGCAAACAAAAGTTAAAATAGAGGGGAGCATACAAAATAATAATAAAAAATATAACAATACATACAAATAAAAATAAGTGAAAGTTATATATAAGATATCATATAATAGATTAAATGAAAAGAGTACGAGAAAGGTAAAGTAATTTATCTAATAGCGTTCTAAATAATACGATTTAACAAGACTTTTGAAAGAGGGAAGAGATTTAGCACGACGAATATGCAGAGGTAAGGAGTTCCACAATCGCACAGCGGTTACGGTGAAGGATTTCTTGAAAAAGGAAGAAGAGTGCAAAGGTGTAGAAAGAGAAAGATTGACGGAGGATCGAAGGAATTTATGTTATTATAATGGCGAAAGGCCTTGTAATTCAACTAATAAAAGCGTAATATTTCATCGGTAAGTTGATTAATTACTAGTTATAATAGTTTAACTAATTTACACCAAGATGAATACTTTACTATGATTTACATTTGTAAACTTTCATTTATTACTTTTCGTATATAAAATTATCATGCCGTTTTTGTTCTACCATAATAGGCGACGTACACGACGTTGACAAACTCGCCAAGCGATGTAATGTAAAACATTGGATATCATTTTGCATTGCGTATGTTTATAATACGGCTGCAGGCATCAGTAGCTTAATGTGTATGTGTTAAGATGTGGCGACATCGGTTTTGGAAGTAATCGAGCGCTAATTTATTTTCTTATTATTATTACTATTTCTGTGGCTATCTCAATGCGTGTCGCCGAACTTTAAATATCTTTGAAATATTTTTCCTTATTTCTTAGACATGCAGGTTTCCTGATGATGCTTTTCTTCACCGCCGAATACTAAACTAGCACTAAAAATTTCAATTAACAATATTCTTGTCGCTGTCAGGGATGGAACTTGGATTGCTCCCATTCTATAAAATTTAAGTATAGCGAACGCTTATCCTCTGAGATATCACGGCTCAACAAATGTTACCAATAATTAAAAAAAATGTATTATATTTTGGTTATTTAGGTAAAATTTAAAGTAACTTTTAAGTAAGTATATTTTTTTCTTTATATTTAGGGAAAATAATTACCATTTACTATATACATATATAACATAAAAACTGGAAATTATTCACATTTCCGCTACTTACTGTTACTTGATACATACCTCGTCTAAACTGATTATGGTTTCGGATCACGCGTTCAGCGTTTTTGCGTGCGATGTAAAACCACTCCGACGTATTGCTCAAATATTTGTATTCCACAGCCAAATCTTTTGCCAATATTGGTCCTTCAGGCAGCCGGTAAGCAAAGGGACAAAAAAGTTGGTAATCTTTATATTGATACTGATCGTAACAGTTTCCAGCTGCGAATACATCGTCGTCAAACTCGACCATAGAAAAAACGCTTGCGTGAAGTAAATATTCGTTATGCATTACAGATGGTCCCGCATATTTCCATAATCGGGTCAGCATATTAGCTCTGTTTACTGCTACCTCTGCTTCTATTCTGAACCTTTCTTGAGCATATCTATCTACAACACCCTCTCCTAAATTTAAATGTGTCCCGGCTGTACAGTTTTCTCCTAACAAATGTTGAGTTTCGATTAATCTTAAAAACTTAGTCACCACATCTTCATGCACACTTGGCCTTATCATAGTCACATTATCCGTACCGTTTAATGTGTCATTAGAAAAATTTTCTTTGGTAATATCAGCACTTAAAATATCATCCATAGTTAACCTTTGAGTTTCGTTAATATCATAACTATGTTCTACATTATACAAGTGATCAAGTAAAGATACGTCATCAGTTGAATCAGGTTTGTGATTATTTCCTGAAAAATTTCCGAAGAGCTTGTGAAATAGTTCAGCTGATTCTTTGGGTTCGTCTTTGTCTGGAGAAGTATAAGGCCTCAGTGCCGCTACAACAGGATCCTCTCCTGATTTATCGATGCTTTCTGAAACAAAAAAAATATATATTTAAAGATATTATAGTAGTTGTAAATAGTATTTTTATGATTAATGGTGACAAACGAGTACACAGTCACCTGATGAGAAATGGATGATGTGACCCATGGACATCTTCATCTTCTTATCTATACTCTGAGGACTAAGATGGAATGTATCCTTTCAGTAGGAAGGTTCTCCGGTTCTCTACACTCAACATATGAAACACAGCAGCATTAAGCTGCTATTTTACACTGGTATTCAGTGAAAGTGCGATCAATCCACGGTTAGGCTGACCCATTTGTCTTAAAATCTTTATATAGCTGCAGCATGGATCTACTGCGTAAACAAGTAAATATCGAGTAAGACACGTTCCAGCTATAGTGTTTATAATATTAATATTTTTTAAATTAGCTAATACGATCGTTCTTTCCGATGTAATATTATATTAATTATACAAGTAAAGTAAAGTTTTAAACCCACTGTTTGCAAACAGATCATCACTGTCGCTGCGCTGCTTCAGTGCAGAATGACCGACTTTATAGGCTCTCAAAATTATTTTTGATACGCTTTCTTAAACATATCTTCAATGAAGATGATGATTGCCATATACATCATAATTCTTAACAAGATTCTCGAACAACTGCATCTTCCATCCTTTCGTCCAATAAACATCTGGAAGTCTTAAATTCAAGAGTGCACCTGCTTCTGTTGCGCTAAGATAGTGCAATTTACAATCTAGGGCTTCATCACCACTTACCTTCAAGTGAGGCTATACGGCACACAGTTAGGTCCTCTCATTTATGAGTGGGTTATTGAATTATGTCTCCCCGCCGTCCAGTGTCTGTTAGCAGACTTCACGATATTTTATTTATTATTATGTAAGTATGTATTTTACTAAATTTGGCTAATTACAAAATACGTTTATTAGTTTTATAATTTTGAACTGTTTGTATGTAATAAATAAGACATATGAGTAATTGTCAGAATACACAATTTAATTGATTGATTTCAAAAAATAATAATCAATGAAGATACGTTTGATTAAATCAATTATTTTAGAGGAATGAAGTGGGATTAGATTGCGTTTATGTCGGATATGCAACTTTATTAAAATATTTTGCAGTTTACAGCCAGTGATAGAGGCACATGTAAAGTCGTTTTTCGCGTAAAAGGGATTTCATCGCCTAAGGAATGGCTGTGTAAAATTTGCTATCTTACCCTATAAAAGAGGATTTTGTTTATGGCAACACCAGATCGGGACTTTCATTACGCGAGGCAATTGATCGCCTACATTATTTATTGGGCGCAATTTTGTTCAGCGCCCATATTTTGTTGATATAAAAGAAGTTGTTAAGGTATTCTTTATCAACTTAATTGTTCGTGTCCTGAAACGATAAATTGTCTACTTGCATGATTTTACAAATAAATAAATAGAGTTTCACAATCGTTGCAATGAAGTTAGTTCTGGACCCCTTTTCACAATTTTTAGTACAAAAATAAAAAGCTCCACACATTGAAGAATCTAGTTTCAGATTATGCCTCATTTGTATCACGGTAATGGTATATTTTTCCCAGTTTAGTATAATTGAAAGAAGAAGAAAGAAAAAAAGAAAGAACCATTTATTTGATAATCACACTTCACAATTTAAGAAATTTAAATATAAATTACAATGAGCAAAGAATATGCATGCGCAGGTGTAAGATTGCTTACGCATTAAAATTATTTAATAAGCAGAACATGCATGATGTTAATTAATAATGAAACAAAAAAAAAATTAAAAAAGAATTTAAAGATAAAATGTGACATCAAATAGGTCTCCAACTCAGCATAATGCTGCAGAGGCAGCGTTGTTTTTCAGTTGGAACCTTGTGACTTCACTGACGAGTCGGTGTGTGAACCTCGAATTACGCGTAACTACAACTTATAGACTAATAGTAATTAGGCAGTGGGTTAAAGAGTAGTGCTAACGAACACAGTTAACACATACATACTGTATTAATACCAATATAAATGGTGTGTAGTACATACACTATACCTATACTACTTACACGTAACATATTTGGCTCTATGGGAAGACAAAGCAAGGTAGCAAAAAAATTTATGATTTTACTACATGTGTAATTTATATTCTGTACTTTAAGGGACACGCCATGTTACGAGACCTCCTAGATTTTTTTTTAGAAAATAAAAAGTAAGCTTAAAAATAAAAAAATAATAATTGGGGATAGTCGTTTTGGGTTTTGTAGGGGCAACGATAACGTGTGCTATTTGTGAAGGGAGGGAAGTGATTTTCAAATCAAGTAAAACATACAATTTTCTTCTTAGTTAATTGTCGTATAAACTAATGAACATATTTTATAAAGTAAATTTGAACAAAGTAGCGTACGATTCTATTAACCTTAAAAGCAGCATTTTTATGACAGAAGAGTAAACAAGAAAGCAGTTCAAGTAATAAACGCCGCCTATGAACAGTTGCATCATTAGAGAATTACAGGAGCAATTTTGAGAGTTATTTGATGTCCTAGAAAGGCTCTTTTATGACGTGTCCCTAAGTCAAATCAATACGAAAAACATATTAGCATTTTTTGTCATAATTCGATTATCGTCGTGATTTTGCAAAGATATAGATGAACAGTGGGATGAACTACGATTACGTGAGAAATATTGAACGATTTGTTTCGGTGATTGATGTGACTGCAAACGGTTTTATCGTCCGAGTTTTCTTTCAAGTACGCGTATTCGTTTGTGGTAATATTTCTGATCTGTAATATGTTTTTATATTGAACACATTCCTCATTTTGTCGTTATCATAATTCTTTTATTTCTACTTTTTACGTCGCAGTGTCAAAAGATTTTATTAATATAATTCACAGATTTAAGCTAAATGGCGCTCTATATCTAGCTCGATATGACGTCCCTAGATAGTTAAGTGAGAGTATTAATTCAATAATATTAATTATCTATTATGATATTGTGACGGCCCAATATTATTATTAATAATTAAATTCAATATAAAGGGGCATCAAAAATAGTTTTAAAATATATATATTAAGCAATAAAATTACATTAATAAGCATAAAGTAAATATAAATACATTTCAGACATTAGACCAATAACATGGTAAATTAAAGGCAAAATATTTTGTTTCATAATAAATAAATTTATTATTAAAAACTTGTAAAAATATTTAAAACATGATAAACAATAGAAATACAAGTCGAAAATGTTATAAAAATAAAGATAAATAACGTTTATAAGATAATTTGAAAATTTGTTAAAAATTGTCTAAGTTGTGGAAGGAGTTCATCTATAAAAGAAAATTTTGTAATCTTGTATGGAGGAGCTGCCGGAGATACATACCTGCAGTTGTACATATATATATGGGGTGGTCGGGAGCCCGACTGCTTGAAGTACTGTAGCACAATGACTAGTCCTATAATAGGGACTTATGATAGTAAACTCAATGATACAAAAGCGATACTATAGAAGGTCTCTATGATGAATTTGCATTACAATAGTGGGGTCGTGGGTTGAAGTCCTACATATGAATGACTTATGAAAGTAAGGTCTATGATACAAAAGCAATACTATAGAAGGTCTCTATGAAGAATTTGCGTTACAATAGTAGAATCGTGGGTTGAAATCCTATATATTAATAACTCATGAAAGTAAGATCTATGATACAAAAGCAATATTATATAAGGTCTCCTTGATGCATAAGCATTATATGGGGTGGTCGGGTGACCGACTGCTCTTAGTACTGTAGCAAAATAACTAGTCCTTATTAGGGACTTGAAAAGGAATATTATGGTGGCGTGTATGCTGCTTCACGAGCAATTGGTACGAGGTAAACTTGGGCTCGCTAACCGATGTGTTCTAGACATATCATCTTTAGTGCCGGTGATAAGCGGGTTTATTGTAGCAATACGGCTTTCCCGTGGGCATCGCACACCCATACCGTTTGTGGGCGACGTCGTAGCGCATAGCGATGCATCGTCTATCTTTCGGATTGGGATGAGTGTGTTTGGTAGCACTTTTAAGTGTAACCAGCATACTGAACTTCATGTCTTAGTGCATTAGTGCTATGATACGTGGAGTTTTGTCCCCTGGCGTCTTAGTAGCATGCTACTATGATACGTTGGTGCAGGTTTTAGTTAACAACATATTAGTGCCGGTGGTAAGCTGGTTTGTTGTAGCAATACGGCTTTCACATGGACATCGCACACTCATACCGTTTGTGGGCGACATCGTAGCGCATAGCGATGCGTAACGTCTATCGTTCGGATTTGGATGATGAGTGTGTTTGGTAGCACTTTAAGTGTAAGGCATACTCAGCTTCATGTCTTAGTGCATTAGCGCTATGATACGTGGAGTTTTGTTCATTGGCGTCTTAGTAGCGTGCTACTATGATACGTTGGTGATATTTTTAGTAACAACAATAAAAACTTTGTTACCAAAGTTGATAGGAATCATTTAGGTGTGTTGTTAGGGGGCGCCACCCGTATGATAGTTGCATTGATGCTTACTGCTATTTGCGGTATTGCGTCTTGTGATGAATCTGCGGGTGTGCTGCGCCTGATTTGACGCATTCTTGTGGTTCTAGTCGATGGAGGTATACAATTAACAACATCTTAGTGCCGGTGATAAGCGAGTTTGTTGTAGCAATACAGCTTTCTCGTGGACTTCGCACACCCATACCGTTTGAGGGCGGCGTCGCAGCGCATAGCGATGCGACGTCTATCTTTCGGATTGGGATTAGTGTGTTTGGTAGCACTTTTAAGTGTAACAGGCATACTTAACTTCATGTCTTAGTGCATTAGCGCTATGATACGTGAAGTTTAGTTTACTGGCGTCTTAGTAGCGTGCTACTATGATACGTTGGTGATATTTTTTAGTTAACAACAATACAAACTTTGTTACCAAAGTCGATAGGGATCATGTGGGTGTGTTGTGAGGGGGCGCCATCCGTATGATAGTTGCATTGATGCTTACTGCTTCTTGCGGTACTGCGTCTTGTGATGGATCTGCAGGTGTGCTGCGCCTGGTTCGACGCACTCTTGTGGTTTTGGTCGATGGAGGTATGCGGGTGGTGACGTCTGCTGGGATGTATGGGGGACCTTGGGATGGTGTAAGCCCGACGATAGTTGTATTGATGCTTGTTGAGAGCATTGCGTCTCTGCGATGGTTGTTTGGTGGGACGCTATTCTCAATGGCACTCTCTGCGTCTTGGTCTGACTCACACCTGAGTAGCTTTGCCCAAGTCGGGTCCCTTCATTACGGGGCTGCAGACTGTCTGCCCTCCACGATGTTTTATATAACAACATAATAATATATCTCTGTAACTTTCCTTAGAGGGTTTACGGCAGTGTGCCTATTTGCTTAAACCGTGTGACGTACATTCACTGTGCATGGATTCGTTCGTATTCTGTATGGCGTTTACACGAATTGACATGCGCGACTTCGGTCGATGTTTGTGCTTACGCACTAACAAAGGGCCAAGCCTCTTTTACTGGTTCGCCAGTTATTTTTCTGTGGACTACGGTCCAGTTCCCGAATTAACGTTCCCTTTGGGGGGGAGTGCATCAAAATGGTTGGCGCTCACCGCGCACGGCGTGTGTGGAGCCGTAGAGGAGGCCCTACATTTTTTTAAATAAATTTAGGAGAGCGAAGCCCTTGTATCGGGTATTTTGTATAAATATATTTTGAGCCTTTTCTAAGCGGGAAAGGGATAAATAATAATAGATTAATAATGTAAACCTGATACAAGTCGAATAGGGACGTTTCATATTTTTAACCTTCCTCGAGCCCTGCCTTCGTGAACGGGGTTCACTTAGCTTATAAGGCGCTACCAACAGCTTTCAATTGCTCTAGTGAATATTCATTCTTCCAAAAGACACCTAAAATAACTAAGTTACTAAACAAATACAACGTAAATAAGGGTCCTAACTAAGACCATCACGCCAAAATATTACAAACGGCCCATTATTAAACCTTTAGAAAGATCATTTAGAAAGAGTTAAACATATCTTATTTTTCTTGGTCACATATATATATAATTTTATTGAAAAGGGGTAAATTAATTATATTAATTATATTTAATTTAATACTATTTATTATTATGAGAGGGGGGAAGCGTTACAATATACACAATAGATCGAAATCCCGTTAGTATGTAAATATTAGCGATTATATTTATGTGTGTGTGTGTGTGTGTGTGTGTCGTGCGTGCGTGCGTGCGTGCGTGCTTGCTTGCGTGCGTGCGTGCGCGTGCGCGTGCGCGTGCGTGCGCGAGTGCGTGTGCGTGTACGTGTGTGTGTGTGTGTGTGTGTGTGTGTGTGTGTGTGTGTGTGTGTGTGTGTGCGTGTGTGTGTGTGTGTGTGCATGTGTGTGTTTTCACTTCTGGCTAAAAAGTCTGATGGAGAAGTCTGCAGTTTGTGATCATATCTCCCAACCATTACATCAGATTTGATAGACCACAAATTCTCGCAAAAGAACATCGATTCCTACCAAGAATGATACGTGAGGATATTGAAATTAAAAAAAACCTTCTAATTTCAATAGAAAAGGAGGCTGGGTACCTACACCTGCTTGAGACCCTGTAATTATTAAAATTAAAACTAAACCCAAGCATACCACTGCAAGACTTCAAGACAGAGTAAATTCATTCTGCATAGATCGGACCATAAACAATAATTAAAAAGCTAAAGGTACTCCGGGTTAACACTAACATCGGGACGTCAGTCACCTTATCCCCCCGAAACATCGGGAATTGAAAATCAATTAAAAATAAACGCGATAAAATCCCTAAAAGTAGTTTTAAACAAGAGCTTTTAGTTGCTATTTCACGCTGGTGTTCTGTGAGAGCGTGGTCCTACCCCGGTTCAGCCGCCCATTCGTGCTACAACTAACATAGCTGCAGCGTGGCTCTACTACGTAAGCTCTTGCTGACTCTTCTCAGAACAGAGTTGTTTTTCTGAACCAGTGCTAAATGAAACAAAAGAGTAATTTACCACTAGTATTATTTATATTGATTAAAAAAGTATCTGCTTCTGTACTCGTATAATGCAACCTATGGGGGGTAGGTACAGCAGTGGACATGTGCCCTTCGGAAATAATGATGATTGAATATATGGCATAAGTTACTTAAATCTCGCATACATGTCAATTACATAAAGGATCATTCTGATTACGTGTCTCTTAGTCAAGGGTAGAAAGATTGATCTTTTCCTACTTAATTTTTTCTTACTAAGTAATTTTTCGCGAAATAGATTTCGCAGCAACTATTTCCACTGCTGCAATAATACTTGATACGGTTTAAAACGACGCGTCTTTCATAATAAATGTTGAAAATTTTAGAGGATATCGCCCTATTTGTCGTCGAATATTCCCATTTGATTTTTCATTAGCGAAATTTCTATACTTTTTATTCTTTTGTAATTTTTTAAAAGCCTAAAGTTCAACGGGTGTTATCACTTTGCTTTTTTATTTTATCAAATTAGTGAGTAAATGACGTCTACAATTTTTTCTTTGTCAAGTTCATTAATTATTTCATCATCATGATCATTAAAGCCCTTCACAAGTCCACTGCTGAACAAAGGCCTTCCCCAAGGAATGCCACAAAACATGGTCCTGAGCCACCTGCATCCATGGACTTCAAGCATGTCTTACCTGGTCGTCATCGAGAACTCGAGAATCTACCACTTGAGAACCTATCTTCCCATCAGTTGTTGGTTTTTCAGGCTATAAAGCCGGCCCATTGCCATTTAAGCTTACTAATGGGCTTTATCATTTACTCAGAATTTACTGCAGATATCCTCATTTCAGAATTTATTACGCAGAGAAACCTCGAACATAGCCCTCTCCATAGCTTGCTGAGCAATCTTGAGCGTTTTTATACGGCCGGCAATGAAGGACCACGTCTCAGATTTATAAGTCATCAACGACAACACGCACTGGTTGTACAATCTCATTTTTAGGTTTTGAGGTATAGCCGACGACGATTGACCTCCCGCTTGAAGTTGGACTTACCTAGTTGGACTATTTGTCCCAGGTAAACGTACTCATTAACAACTTCAAGCTTAGTGCTCTAGACTTATGTCCACATGACCTTTGTTTTGTCTATGTTCACCCATCGGTTGGGAAACACTGTTGAAGCCATTAAGCATAGTTCTTAGGTCCTCCAGCGATCGATTCTGCCATAAGGATATTAACTTTTAACTCCACCATTGACGGTCCCAAGCCCGTATGCGAAAGGAGGAGGGCAGACTGAGGTTAGACCAAAGCAGTCGTAAGAGGTCAACGCCGAGTGTCGGGCGGCGGTTAACTAACCCGAATAAGACCAAACCGATGGTGATAGGAAATTATTACCATCACCCGCTACACTGTGGTAATGCACAGAATCGGAGGCATTGACTTTACTGCTCGTGCCGAGAGGTAGAAAGCCTCAATAAAAATTCACCCCAATCCTACGGTGGGAGACGCGCCAAAAGGATATATGGCTGGGGGTCCCAGTAACTAGCGCCAACCTTGGTGAACCAGGCGAACACCATTATACATAGCCTTCTCTCAGGAATGGCGTCACCATGAGAGTGACCCTTTTGTCGTCCATACTCGTGGGAATCAAAATGCAGAACAATGAAAACAAATCCAAATAAACCTATACACAACAAATTCTCCATAAAGAATTCTTCCAAGCAAGACCAAGACCCTTTTCTTTTAGTGGCCGCCCAAACAGTGATATGCAATCTGAAGATGCAGATTTACGGAGTCCGCCAGGTCGGACGAATGACCAATCAACGAATGGCAGCGAGACAAAGTACCAAATAAAAAACGTAAAAGACCCGACAGCCCAACGGAATGTGTAAGTAAACAGAAGTACACAAGACAAGTCAACTATAAAGTTCCTGTTCAAAACCAATTCTATATCCTCAGCGACGAAGATCCTGAAATCGCACATAAAACTAAAGAATATATACCAAAACCAGAACCAATTTTTGTGACTGGTATTGTCAACATAACACCCTTAAGGGAACTTATAGTCAAAGTTGAGGCTATAGATAAGTTTACGATGACTACGCTAAGCTCTGGACATATCATTAAGCTAGTGCCTGTTGACATCGAAACCTATAAAACAATAAGAGACAATCTAATTAAAAATAACATTAATCACTACACTTACAAACTTAAGAGTGAAAGGGCGTACAGAGTAGTGATAAGTGGCTTACATGCGTCAGAAAATATTGACATGATTAAAGAAGAGCTGCAAGCCATACGTCAAATAGTCAACGTATTGCATAGAACAACAAAAGAAAAACTACCCCTCTACTTTGTAGATTTAGAGCCACAAGCCAACAATAAGGATATTTTCAGTATAAATACATCAACCATGTCAAAGTTACAATCGAAGCACCTTACAAGAAAAAAGAAGTATTGCAATGTAAGAGATGTCAAAGATTTGGGCACTGTAAAAATCAATGCTTTAGACCTTTTCACCCAATCACATCACCCAACAAGCGCATGTACCAAAACTCCTGAGTCAGAAGCAGTGTGCGCTAATTGTCAAGGCAGAAACCCGGCGAGCTACAAAGGTTGCATTAAATATAAGCAGTACAAGGAAAAAATTCTAAGTCTCAAACCTGCCCAACAACCTAAACAAACAAACGTTACTACACACCCAAAACAGAGCATCAACGAGAATGACAAGTCAACGCACCACACAGGCTTCAGCTATGCCGGTGTACTGAAGAACAAGCGTAACAATTCTTTTACTCAGTCACGCGTTCCTATTTTGGACGCGAGCCAACAGAATATAACAAGCTTATTGGACACAATGTTTGAAAGATTCCAAAAAATCATTAATGACCTGATGGACAGAATGATTGATCAGATTATCAAACTAATTACGCGACTTACCGCACAGAGGGACTAAATATTCGTATTATCACCTGGAATGCCAATGGCATGAGTCGCTCGCGTCCGTAGGCTTCGACCACCACCCCTTGTTCGCACCATGAGTCAGGAGATAAAAGAAATGGCCCCGAGTTCCCGGCGCCCCTTTAATGGGGCAGGGGTGCGAAGAATCTCCGGGAGAAAAACCGGCGACGAGGTTCGCCACCCGTCACGTTCTGTCTCCCGGAGGGGCGAAAAGTGGATTGCGGAAGCCCGTCTGGCTACGCTGCATGTATGTGGAGCAATGAATGATAAGATGGATGAAGTATGCGAAATGATGAATGACAGAGGAATAGATGTGTTATGTGTAAATGAGACGAAACGAAAGGGAAAGGATGCCACTGCACATGGCACGTATACCGCGTATTGGTCTGGTGTAGACGAGACCGAACGGGAATGCCAGGGAGTCGGTTTCATCCTTTCAGAAAGAATGGGTCAATGTGTGATAGAGTATGAATGTGTAAGCCCGAGGCTGCTATGGATACGAATGAAAGTGGGCTTAAAGAAGCTGTTCTTGCTAGGGGTGTACGCCCCAGACATGTCTAAGCCCACTTACATCCGAGAGCAGTTTTGGGACATGGTAAGGATGGTGTTTACAAAATGTAAGGAAAATGAAAATATTATTATGTTAGGCGACTTTAATGGAAGGGTTGGGGTGAAGAGGTCTGGTTATGAAAGGATATTGGAAACGTTTGGTGATGAAAGTATAAATGAGAATGGTGAAGACCTCCTCATCGTATGTGTTGAAAAGAATCTCTTTGTGACGAATACTTTTTTCGTCATAAGAAGATTCACATGTATACATGGGAAAGAGGTGATGATAGAAGCGTGATAGATTTCGTAATTGTGGATGAAAAAATGGGGAGTGCAGTCGTAGATACAAGGGGATATTTTACCGGGGGTCCAACGTAGGGACGGATCATTACTTGTTCTTATGTCGAATTAATGGTCTTTTCAAGCGTTGGCGGCATCGGACATCTGTGTCTACCACTGCGTTACAGCGTATAAGAATAGAGAAGTTACAAGATGAAGATGTGAAAGAGAAGTATAAATGTAGACTGAGACAAAATATTAGGTGTTTGAATGAGTTTTGTATGAATGATTTAGACTTGAATACTGTGTGGGATAATATTAAGAAAGTTTGGTGGATGCAGCCACCGAAGTATGTGGTGTAAGTAAGAGAACAAATGAAAGGAAAAGGAATACCTTGTGGTGGGATGATGAGGTGCGGGTGGAAGTTGAATCAAAGAAGAAAGCATGGTTAGATTTATTAGCAACTAAAACTGGTAATTCTGGTGGTATGAATGATGAGATTGAAAGAAAAAGGGCAGAATTTAGACGTCTAAATAAGAGAGTAAAAGAAGTAGTTGAAAGGAAAAAGAAAGAAAGAACGGATAAGATTGATAGAAAGATATCTGATAATTTCCAGGCTAATATAAAAATGTTCTGGAAACTCGTAAGAACTGCCAGGGGAAACACAAAACAGCCTATAATTAATGCTATAAGAGACGAGAATGGATGTATTCTGAATGATGAAGTTTCGAATTTAAACAGATGGAAGGAATACTTTGAAAGCGTGTTTATGAGTGAAGAGTCGTCTGAATTAAATAAACTAGAAATTCCGAAAGTAGTGGAAAGGGGTATGGAGATAAGTGTAGATGAAATAATGAAAGCAATGAAAAGCATGAAAGCAGGTAAGGCAGCTGGATATGATAGAGTATCACTCGAGATGCTAAGGGGTGGAGAGGGAGTGGTGGCAGGCCTTGGTTGGCCTTGGGTTGGCAGGTACACCTTGTTTAATTTATGTTGGGAATTAAAACGGGTACCGGATGACTGGTGTAAAGCAGTTATAGTACCAATATATAAAGGAAAAGGGTCACAGCAGGACTGCAAAAACTACCGTGGTATCAGCTTGCTTAGTATTGTGGGTAAACTGTATGCTAAGGTGTTAATTGAAAGAGTTATGAAAGAAACTGATGAAAAAATTGGGATATGCAAGCGGGTTTTAGGAAGGGAATGGGGTGTACAGATCAAGTCTTTTCCATGCGCATGATTGCGGAGAAGTTTTTGGCTAAAAACCAGAAAGTTTTTTTCTGCGTTCATGGACTTGGAAAAGGCTTATGACAGAGTGGACAGGAATGTGTTATGGCAAACACTGAACTCATATGGGTTGAGCGCTGGCTTGATACAGGTATTGAGGTCTCTTTGTAGGTATTCTAGTGCTTGTGTCAGGATCAATGGGGTCTACTTGGACCGGTTTGGCATCCGAAAGGGTATCAGACAGGGCTGTGTGGCTTCCCCTTGGCTGTTCAACCTATTTATGGACAGGTGTTTGCAAACTTTGAAAGATGAAGAATGTGGGTTAAGAATGGGTTTTTTTGGCGTTTGTGTGTTTTTGGGGGCGGGGGGGAATGGGTTGTTTTTTTGGGGGAAGGGGGGAAAGGGGACGAGAAGAAGAAAGGGTTAGAGTTAAGCCTGGGCGGGGGGGAAAGTAGAATAAATGCTGTAGAAATGCGGTCTTTAAGGAGTATGCTAGGGTTGAATCTGAATGACAGGATGAGAAATTGCATGATAAGAGATAAATATGGTATGCAAGGTGATGTTGTGACCAGGATTAAGAAAGGAATGCATCGCTGGTTTGGTCATGTAGAAAGAATGAATGAGGAAAGAGTGACAAAACAAATTTATATGGCAGATATGAACGGCAGAGTCGAAGGGGACGCCCTAGAAAAAAGTTTATCTACCAAATTGGCGATATTTTGAAAATGGGCCACGTTAAAAGTACCCTTAACCGACGAGCATGTATGCGTTGATATATGGATGTAATTGAGGTGAAAGAGGTATGTCAGGATCGTGTCAATTGGAAGTCCGTGGTCTCTGCCTACCCCTCTGGGTGACAGGCGTGAGTGTTCATGCTTATGCTTATGCTGAATGCCAATGGGCTGACCGACAGACGGAAAGAACTTGAGTTATTCATAAACACTGAGAATATTGATGTTGCCCTGATATCTGAAACAAGACTTACACCCAGAACACATATAAAGTTCCATAACTATACGATCTATAGAACCGACCATCCTTCTGGAAATTCTCATGGCGGCACTGCAGTGATACTGAAAAATAACATAAAGCATTACCCTCTTGAAGTATACAAAACAGAAAAAATTCAGGCAACATCAATTAAAATACACCACAAAAATACTGAGAAAACACTCACTGCAATCTATTGTCCTCCACGACCCAAAATCGAGGCTGATGAATTCAAGCTGTTTTTCAACAAATTGGGCCCAGTATTTTTCTGCGGAGGAGAATGGAACTCCAAACACACTTTCTGGGGTTCAAGACTGATCAACCCTAGGGGCATACAGCTGTATAAAGCCACTCCAGATCTCAATCTCGAATTTATCTCGCACGGAGAACCAACGTACTGGCCAACGGACCATAACAAAGTACCAGATTTGCTAGACTTCTATATTTCAAAGAATCTTGGGCAAAACTATTTACAGATTGAAAAATGTGAAGATCTGTCATCAGATCATACTCCAGACATTTTAAATATTTATAAAAAGGCCATTTTCCTTAAGCCACTCCCCAAGATCTACAACAAACATACCAACTTGGACCAGTATAGAGAATTTATACGTAGTAACATTGACTTAAACATAAGTCTAAAGACAAACAATGAAATCGAAGCCGGCGTTGAAAAGTTCAATAGCATTGTACACATGGCTGCCAACGTTTCCACTCCTAAAAATATGAAATCAAAAACAAAACAAAAGGAATACCCCAGAAACATAATCGCGAAGGCCAGTGAACGACGCAAAATAAGAGGAGAATGGCATAAAACTAGATATCCTTTCGATAAATCTCAGCTAAACAGGGCAACGAAGGAACTAAAAGACATAATCAAAGAGCATGAAAATCGTTGTGTACAAAATCACCTATCTCAACTCACATCACAAAAGTATACATACTAATAATTCACTGTGGCGCGCAACCAAGAACCTTAAGCAACCAAAAGACCACATCCCGCCCCTGAGAAAACTGGATAAAAGCTGGGCTAGGACTGATGTAGGAAAAACAACAGCATTCGCAGTACACCTAGAAAAAGTATTTACACCACTACCTTGTTCCAACCCCAATAAAGACGATGACATAGCGAATTACCTACAGTCTTCAAATCAATTATGTCCCCCATTAAAAGCAGTAAGTCCCAAAGAAATAAGCCGGGAGATAAAATCTGTTTCACCCAATAAAGCTCCGGGGTACGTCCTATTGGACTCCGTGCTGTTAAGCAATCTTCCGAGGAGTGGCATAATATTTCTTGTTACACTCTTCAATTCATCTATAAGACTCTCCCACTACCCGCGTCAGTGGAAAATTGCTCAAGTAGTAATGATCCTTAAACCTGGAAATCAGCCAGAAGAAGTCTCATCCTACAGACCAATAAGTCTCCATCCACTGTTGGGGAAATTGTTCGAAAAAGTTATCCTCAATAGAATGCATTCTCATCTTAATGTGTAAATATTCCTGGGCACCAATTTGGATTTAGACAAAGGCATGGAACCATGGAGCAGGTTCACATGTTGACAGATACCATCGGTTATATGCTTGAAAATAAGAAATATTGCTCGGCTGTGTTTCTAGATATAAGTCAGGCATTTGATAGATTCTGGCACGATGGCCTCTTATTCAAGATCATAAAACATTGCCGCATTCCTTCCACTTTTTACTAAAAAGCTACTTAAACAAAAGATGCTATGAAGTTAAACTGAACAACACCACGTCTGATCTGTTTGAAACCAGATTAGGGGTACCTCAACGGAGCATATTAGGGCCTATACTGTATCTTATATTCACTACTGACATCCCTGTTGATGATAAAACCTTTATTGCCACATACGCTGATGATACTGCAATAATGTCAGTTAATGCCAACCCAACAATCGCATCAGCTCATCTCCAAAAACATGTAGATGAGATAGAAAAATGGCTGAAAATATAGAGAATAAAGTCTAATCAAAGCAAATCAGTTCACGTCACCTTCACTCTAAAAAAAGGCGACTGTCTACCAATTACACTGAACGGAGAACAAATGCCACAAGATAGTACCGCGAAATACCTAGGCATGCATCTGGATAGGAGGTTGACCTAGCAGAAACATATCTGGAGCAAAAGAAAAGCCCTGGACGCAAAATTAAAATCTATGTATTGGCTGATTGGAAAAAAGTCTCATCTAACAAACGAAAACAAAATAGCAGTTTACAAAACTATTTGGTAAGCCAGTATTGACATACGGAATAGAACTTTGGGGAACAGCAAGTAATAGCAACATAGAAATCCTGGAAAGGTTTCAGACTAAAGCTATTAGATCTATGTTCAACATTCCAAAATAAATCCACAATAAATATATTCTGCACGACTTGAGGCTCAACGCTGTGAAACAAGAAATCGCTGCTCGAAGCTTAAAATACCAACAAAAATTAACTTTACATGTTAACCCTCTGGCTGCTAAATTAATGGGTTCTGGGAGTACCGTGTACACAAGACAGAAGAAATAGCGTTATAAATCTCGTGAAACGATTTACTAAAGAATAGTGAGAGTGGTCAATGGACAACTCCCCCTGCTTAAAGAAAGAAATAATCAGACATAGCTCAGACAAAGAAACAGCAAAATGTCCACGACAGATTGCTGTGTAAGCGGGATAGAAAAAGAAATAAGGACTATAGCATCGATAAATCAAAAGTTAATTATGTCACTATGTAATTAACTCCAAGGCAATAGAGCAACTCAACCGTTGAGTTTTTTTTTTATAGAAGATGGGGCAAACGAGCATACGGTTCACCTGATGCTAATTGACAACCGTCGTCCATGAAAATCTGCAACACCAGAGAAATTACAGATTCGTTGCCGGCCCTTTAGAATGGAGTAAGCTCTTTTCTTGTGGGTCCCCAGATCGTATAGGCCCGGAAAAAGCGCCGGTAGTTAAACTATTCCACAGAGAGGTTACGCGGAAGAAAACTCCTAGTGAAACATACAGTGGCGGATCGCCAAGTATTCAGATGGTGTGGATGGTATCGGAAGGCTTGCTGCGTAGTGCGTTCATGAAATTTGGTGCCTGGGATTAATCCGAACAATTCCTCAGAGCACTCCCCGTGATAGATGTGATAAAATATGCAAAGAGGTGCAAAATTTCTTCGCAGCGCCAGTGAATCGAGCCGATCGGAAAGCACTCGGTCTTCGACGATTCGAGCCGCTCTGCGCTCGATGCGGTCATATGGAAGGAGCTGGCACTGGGGAGCTCCAGCCCAGAGATGGGAACAGTATTCCACGTGAGGTCGAATCTGCGCCTTGTTAAATTGCAGGCTGTGTTCCGGCATAAAATACTGTCCCACTCTTCTGAGCACGCCAAGCTTTTTAGAGGCCAATTTGGCCTTCTCTTCCTAGTGACCACGAAACTGCACGTCACACGTCTTAGACTCTACTACCGCCACCCATCTATGATTCAGGTAGACCGGAAGATAACCAGCTGATTGAACACGACGAAAGCCGTATTGGCGATCACTAATCAGCTGGTGATCCTCAAGGTACCTTAAGAGCTGACAGTTTAAAATGGACTCCATTGTTCTGGAGAACAAAGAGGTGATGGCGATGGGCTGGTAGTTGGACGGCTCTCAGCGGTCACTTTTTTAGGGATCGGTTGACGAAAGCCGTCTAACATGATTTTAGGACTACGCCTAGGGAGTAGGTGCTGGTGCCAACTCTGGAGCATACGTTCGCAGCACAATTGGGGGATACCGTCAGGCCGGCTCTGATTGCGGATGTCTAGTGAGAGGAGTGCTTTGCGTACCGAGCGCTGTGTGAACCGCACTTCCGGCATCAACCACTCACACCGCCGGATGGTTGGCAACATACTCCCCACGTCAACGAGAGTCGTGTAGGACGCAAAGAAAGAGTCTAGCAGATCATCTTTATCCTTTGCGGCATAGACCAGTGAGTCTTTCTCCCTGTGCAGAGATGGAAGAGATGGCTGATAGAAATTCCCTTGGACAGCCTTGGCGAGAGACCAGAATGTACGGGTTCCAGAAGGAATCTTAACTAGTTTTTCGCCAAATCTGCCTATGTCCTCTAACTTTGCCTTGGCAATGACTCTTTTGAAAGACCTGGAAGCGGAAATATACTTCTTTTTTAGAGCGCTGGTATTTACATCCTTGGACGTTGATGCGTCAGTCCGGGATTGGTAGCACTCCTGCTTATAGAATGATGTTATTTTACGGGAGCGACCACCATAGCTGAGATTTGCCTCCGATGGGCACCACAGTGGAAGGAATAAAAAGTTCTATACCCTGAAATACCACATCAGTGACAGAATCCGCAACAACGTTTTGACTGTCCGGCGAGAAGGAAACCCGCCCCCAAGGGTAGGATGCAAAGAAAGACCGCACACCAATCAGCTGACCCATAGTGCCAAACACGGCAGCAGCCTGCAGAATGTAACCGCAATTTTAGCGTGAGGGGCACCACACTCCAGACAAGACAATGATTCGAGGAGCCTAAAGACGCATCTACGGAAATCTGATATAGATTTCCGTCGATGCGTCTTTAGGCTCAGAGAGGTCAGCAGAAAGTTCAACAGGGAAGGTGCATGATCCTACACATCTGAAATCTGCGTAGGCGAAGTAACCAGTTGTGTCAGACCAAGGAAAAATCATGAACAGATCTCCTCACATGATCGGTCGAACGTGAACAAAGCCATTTGGCGTGGTGGGCGTTAAAATCACCGAGGATACGATCGCTGTGGAGGGGATCTGCGGTAGCAACGAACCTGTAGCAATTTGGACGTGGTCGAAGACTAGGTCTGTTTCGGCATTACAGCTTTGGGATCTATAGAGGCATCCGTAGATGCGAGGATGGTTGTCGCTGTCTACGCATAGCCAAAGGATAGATAGGTCCGAACCTTCAAGACTGCCGAGAACAGATGTTCTTTCTGACGTATACGCAAACTCCAAGCCCGAGGCACAAAGGAGTGTTCCAGTTCGTACCCCGGATAGGAGAGATGCGAAGCATCAGCCGGAGGGGACACCTGTGTCTCAGTCAGATAGAGCAGAGCCGGCCTCACCGTCTCGAGGTGGTAGTGGACGGCGTTTAGGTTAGAATGAAGTCCCCTGATATTGCAGAAACTTCACGGATAGCGTGGCGAGGTCACCTTGGTTTTGTTGCTCAGCTTGCCCCGAGCAGTTGTTGTCTTCAGCAAGATTTTGCCCCCTCCAGAATACGCAGGACAGCCTGAGCACCCACGCTCAGGAGTGGAGTAACTTGGTCGTCGATGCTCAGCGAGGGATTCTCCAGGGGTGCTGGTACCCTCCTGGGGCAGATGTTCACTTAATTCCGCTACCATGCTAACATGGTAGCGGAATTAAGTGAAGCCCCCTAAGGGGGGGGATTGGGCCTCTAGCCACCTACACTCACCAGACGAAACGCGGAAGCACAGCTTCCACTTCACGCCGGTATTCTGTGAGGTCGTGGTACCACCCCGATTTGAGCCGGCCCATACGTGCAACAGCAAAACTGCCGCGTGGCTCTACTACTGTTATTATCAAAATAATGAAAATGTTTTTGGGGTGTTTCTATGCCAAATATCCCCCCCTTCCTCTAAGGCAATCTATGTTTAGCACTGGCCATTTGTTATACTGTAATGAATGAAAAAAAAGAAAATGGAAACGAAAACGGAAATGAATAATATTCGAAATTAAATAAGAAGTGTTTTAATTTAGTGCCGAGAACATTTTTTTAAACTTTTATTTACAAAGCGACATTCTTATTTCAATGTAACTTCTGTAAAAGACACCAGTCACCTCTGATGTATTAAGTGCATATTCCGAAAAACTATAAAACGTTTAATAAATAGAGACCTAGCTGACATTCGAAAATTATGTTTATGAAAAAATCTTGAATTTACTCTAACAATATTTTAAC